CATCCAAATTTCGCTCTCCTCTTGACAGTTTAGCAGAGCACAGCAGACAGTCTGCTTGTTTGGTGTCCTCCGTGCCTATCTTAAAATATCTCCAAACTGCCGACAAGTTACTTCTTCTTCTTCTCATCGTTCTTCTTCTGTTATTCGGGGGTGCGGTCGGAAATAACTTGTCAGTGCATTAGCGCCACCGCCTGGTATGGATTGTTGTTTACCTTTTGCACAGGAGGGGAAAAAAGCGGTATCGGTTAAGAGTATCGGCCGGCTTTTACGAGTACGAGTACGAGTACGAGTACTTGATGCTGGTATCGGACCCGATACCGATACTGGTTTCGGTATCGGGACACCCCTAGATATCACAATGTTCCATACCATTGTACACATATTTTGCAAAGCTTCACCAAAATGGCTATTAGAATGTATTTTGTCATCACACTTATTTTAGTTTAGATTATTTTATTTTAAAACTCAGTTTTCAAAGGCAGTGGATGATACGAATTCCTCCAAGAAATGTTATATTTTTACCTTCTCATGTATTTATCTTTGCAGATGAGGAAACAGATATGTCTAATTAAGTCAATGTAGTAATGAGGATGTGTAATTACTGCCAGCATGGCACCTGGCATTACTATGCACTGCAGCTGAGCTTCCCTGTATGGTAAAACCAGAAGCACACATGCTGTACTACATAAAGCCTGATGGAAAAACAGTCACCTATAGGCTTTCAAATACACAAACAACAACAAATAAATTATGTTGACTCATAAGGACCAACATGATTTACAATAAAACACATAAAAGGAGTACAAAGACAGAGATCTTAATGATGGTGAGGATCACTCCATTTTTGTCTTTTGTCTGCAGTGTATTGTAAGTTTTGTCTTGCGCAGTTAAGTGACGAATCAGACAATATTCCCAACCAGAGCAGGCATCAGATAACAAGAAGCCAGGGTCAACAGTAGGCACACCAATCAGTCTGCCTGTTTAGAACATATTGAGCTAACAGCTTTACACCATCCATGCACTTTTCTTTGGAAACTCTCCTGATTGGAAGTTCACTCTTGACCTACAGCGGTACTACTTCTGATCAACAGAGGGCACTAGTGTTTAAGATTATCCTGTTTTTTTTTTTTTTTTTTTTTTTTTTTTTTTTGGGAGACAACACAAATACTGTATACTTACAGGCATCTAAAATTTCAGAGCAGAACAAGGAGAAGAGGATAAATTAAGTGTCATAAAAAGTAAATAATCACCAGCCAAAAGTCCACAGGGAAAACCAAGGGCGTAACTTTGTGCTGAAAGTTGGTGGGGACGCACCGTGGGGGACGGGGTCTGACGCACCCACAGTTGTGCGACCAGGTTTTTCTGTTGTTCATACTGTATGTCTTCAGTGTGGGCTCAATTTAACTGTCTGCACATGCCATAAACTGAACACCAAATGTTTCTTTTGTGATGCAATTATAGTCAAACCAAATTAACAGATTATGTTCACCTTTAAATATCAGCCCTTTAAACTCACTAAGAATACATTTTGACAATCAACCATAGTTTCATACAGAGACACACAGGTGGAGCACAGGTGTGTTGGTTTATTCTTCTCACATAAATCTTTTAATGTGTGTAAAGGACACACTGGAGGTGGGTCTAGGGGTCCTCCCCCAGAAAATATTGAATAAATTAGAAGCTATTTCCTGATTTCTAACGTATTTTAACAAGTTGTTAAAGATACTTTTACATACATAAATAAACACCTGATTTAATGACTAGAGAAGGATTCTTCATTAAACTAGTTGCATCATCCTGTTTTTAAATTCAGTTATAACTCAGATAATTAAATTAATGATACAAATTATCCCAAACAAGCTTAAATGAGGCTTTTACATTTATTTATAAGATCAATATGTGGATGTTTGGAACTGATTAGAAAGCTAATGATGGATGGAATGACAGATTTATTTACTGACCTTTATTTAACCGGGAAAATCCCAATTATGAAAACCAATTTCTACCACTTCCTACAAATAAAAGTTATATTTAAATAAGCCTATCACTTTTATACTGGTCAAAATAAAANTATATATATATATATATGAAATAAGAAATCATATCCAAACAAAACAGCTATGAACCTTCCACTTAAAATTACAGGAGAACCCACAAAATGTTAAAATGGATCAAATAAATTCAAATGAACATTTGTCTGAGAGTGCGAATTGTGGAAACTCAGGATTGACTGAAGAGGACATTAGAGTGAAACTACTCTGTGTGTGCGCATGTGTTTATTTAATTTTTAACTCAGAGAATAATTTATCAGCTTGTGTGGAGAGCAAAAGAGAACTCAGTGAAAGGTACATTCTGATTATACCACTGCTTGTCTCCAAGTTTGGCAGACACTTTTACTCTGAAGTCAAACAGGTTACTAGAAGAMTTAAGAAGATTTACTTTGCTTTCTCAGCTTTGTAGTCAGAAATCACCATATGAACTCAGCACTTAATAGGTTCAGGTTTAGAACAAACTGCACAGGGACAGAGACCCAACCTTGAAGCTTTTTAGAATCCCACATTTCTGATCTTTCTTTTTAACCTCCCTACTATTTGTGTGCAACTTCAAAATGTAGAAAAGTGAAATAAAATATATTACAAAAGCTTTTGAAAAGCTTTCAGTGAAGTTATGCTCCTTTTAGTAGCCTGGTTTCTGTGATTTACTGACACCCAGGAACGTCAACCTTTAAATGAAGACAGCAACTTCTCAACATGAGATGTTTTATAATCAAAAGCTTGAAACTATGTCACACTGTTCCTCAACTGCTAAAATTGAGAGCAAGGTCTTTTAATAACTAATAGATAAACCCAAAACTGGTGAGAAACTGAAAGTGCTCTCAAGTGTCTACAGTGCTGTTTGTGTATAAAAGAAAGAAAGAATTAGGCAACATTTTCCCCATTTGGCTCCATCTTGATCTCAGTTCTTTTGCTAGAACTAAACTAAGGTCTTCATCTCCTGTGGTGGTGTAACAGTGGTGCGGTGCTGTGAACGGTAGATGAATTGCAGGCAGTGTGGAACAGCTGTGAAAGAAAAAGCCATGACAGAGAAAACAAGTAACAGTACAGTATGTCCAGTGGACTGAAGGCCAATGGGAGAGAGGCAGGAGGGTGGTGGAACAGGATGGGACCCTACCTCCCGTGATCACTGAACTTAGAACCCAAGCCACCATGGCGTGTGGTCGTGGTCGGTGGCAGTGGGGGAGTTTAATTTAAAGGAACACACACAACATGCTGGAAACTCTGTACCTTTCAGTGTGCCGTCAGAGAGGGCCCAACTCACCCCCGGAACCATTAAATCTAGAGGAATGAAACCAGATTCGTCAGAAGCAGAAGAAAGTAAGGAAAGGAAGGATGGCTCAGAGAAACAAGAGAAAGAGAGTTAAAGAGAAAGAAAGAGAGAAAGAGGAATGGAGTAAGGCCAGAAGGAAGTGATGAAAGTTTTAGCTGGTTTATGTTCCTGTGTGATATCTTTCCAGTTATTCTGAGTCCAGATTTTTGAATTAATAAATTTGGATTAGGAGGAAAGAAGATGCTGTTCGCATAACTGTAGATGTCAAAATATAGACAATTATGCAAAATTACCTAACACACTGTATGCTACTGAGATACACTGGCAAACAACCTCCCATGTTTGTTTCACTATCCAAGGTTTGACCCTGTATGTGTATACAAAAACATTTACTGCCCAAAAAACCCCACCAAGACAAAAAATAAATTTTCATTAAAAAATCAGCAAGGAAAAAAAAGAAAAAAAGAAGACTTAAAAGTGTAAAAAATGGAATGTACTGGCCTCAATGGTTTAAAGTTTATACATGAACTGCATATTCTGTGTGATAAGCAAGTTTTTCAGTTGACAGATGCCTACTGTAAAAGGAAAATCATTTGTCATCTGTATTTCTCAAGAGCTCAACAAAAACATTGCTGTTTATCAACTAAACATATCTAAAAGAAAAATGAAAAAAAAATATCAAAATGAAATTTCTAGAACTTTAAGAAACTTTGTCTCCGCTGCTCCTTATGTAAAAAAAATAATTGTGCCTTTAAATAGGGGTAAAAACCTGCAAGCAAAGGCACCAAATATTTAAGGTCGTATTCAGACCTGACAATTTGCTCCACTTTAAACGAACCAGAGTTTGTTTCCAGCATTGGTCTGGACCTTTTGTGCAGGTGTGAATACACTCATGCGAACTCTGGTGCGGATCAAACAACCGGATCGAGACCTGCTTTTTGAGGTGGTCTCGGTTAGTTTCCAAACGAACTCTGGTGCGGTTCACTTCAGTTCGCTTCTGGTGTGAATACAGATCGGACTCGAACCAAACCAAGTGCCTAAAACATGCACGTTTTTGGACTTCACAGGCCACCGTTGCTGAGCTAAATAAACTGAAATCATACCAGTTTCGTCGTCTCCTGCTTAGCAGCTTTGCTGCCAGCATGTAGTGGGTCAGAACACGCAGAGCACCTTGTCTCCTTTGGGTCACGGGACACATTTACTGACTTCACTCCAAAATTAGAATATCATCACTGAACCACCATTAAATTAGCTGCTTCTGACATTTTAAATGCTATTGCAGTTGTACTATCAGCAAAAATGTGCGCATCAGAACCACAGCATGCAGGACTTCCTTGTTTTCTTCTGGGTCTGTGCTCTCAGTACCGCCCCTGCCCTTTCTGTCCAGTGGGAGCAATGATCGTTACCCTCGTGGCTTTGTTTACAAGTTATAGTTCATTTGCAAAAAGGCACAATGTGAATGCAAACTGCACCAAATGAAAATAATAAAGTCCACTTTTGGTCTAGACCAAACAAGTGGACCAAAGGAATTTCCTGGTCTGAATACACCCTAAAAAGGCTACTGCTTGCAAATGCTTGCAATGACGTTTTAGTGTTAGAAAGCAGTGGAAAGAGTATTACCAAAACAAATAGTTTGTCATAAACTCATACAGCCATGGGGGAGGGACTGGGGGGCAGGTGGGAAATTAGCTTTGATCTCTATAAATGCCACCTCTTGTGATCTCAGATCTTAAGCGGCTCCTCAGCCCAGATTTTGGTTTATCCCTACCCCCGCGACTGTACTAAATCACATGCAGAAGAGAGAAAGGAAGGGTCACCTTAATTATCATTATGCCATTTAAAAAAATCAACATCTTCCCCTCCCTCTAGCTCTGTGTATCAACTAACATGCAAGCCCTGTATTTCAGCACCCACTGGGCATGCTCCAATGGGTCATCCCAAGCACAGCATCTACGGTAGACCAGGCAAGGTTATGGAGAAGGAAAATTGGTGGGGAGGTGGGGGGTATTATTCCAGTGGTCAACTATTCTAACTCTGTGAACTCCTCAATTATGGGACCTTTTCTCAACACCCAGCTTACTAAGTTTTAGTTTGGGATTTGAAAAGAAGCACCCAAAATCTGTAGGCTACTCTAAAGAGTCGGAACAGATGACCACAACAAAACTTTCCTGAGGTCGCTTAAAAAAAGGATTACCAAGAGAAAGGGAAGGTTCTACCGCAGAGTTGCATCTATAATCGATACTAGCTTACTAATTGCATTCTTCTGGATTCGGCCAAACCAAATTAAAAAGCAAAAACAAAAGAAGGAGCTCAAGCTTAAATCAAGCAGGACTCAGAAAGATGTGGAAAGACTACCGACCAGCCAGCTCCTTCTCCTTACTCCGTCTCTTTTTCTCCATTCGTTTCAGTCTCTTCTCCTCCCTGCGTTTGGCCTCCTCGGCCTCCTGGTGCCGTCGACACTTGTGGAAGTTCTCCACCACCACGCCCACAAACATGTTGAGGACGAAAAAGGCAACAATCAAGAGGAAGGAGATGAAGTAAAGCAGCATCCATGGGTTGTGGTTCATTTTAGGCTGAAAAAAAACCCCCCACAAAAGAATAAATATTTTAAATATCCAGAAACCTTAAAATTTTGCATTAAACAGTGTTTTTTTATTCTGAGTAGTAAATTTCTTTAGATTTTACTTGGCTTTTGTCCTGGACTAAAATAACTTTGCGCCAAACACACTTACTTGTTGGTCCACTCCTACAGCATCAAGTCCATCGTACATAATATCCACCCATCCATCTTTTGAGGCCAACACAAAGAGAGACATCAAAGCCTGGAAGAGAAGGGTTAGAAGTAACAAATCAGTAAAATGCAGTCATGAGAAAAAAAGGACACCACCTTTTAACTCTTACCATAACATAAAACAAGAAATTTAGTCAACCTGGGGCTCATTTCTAAAAAGTCAGATTTATAAATCCATGATTTCAGCTGTAAGCTGAGCTTGAACAAACGTTTCACTTATAAACAGCTGTAACCAGTTGCTCTAACATCAAGCCACATTTAAATGGAGTGGCTCGCTCAAGCCAGCTAAAAATCATTTAGGATTAATGAACATTCACAATTTGTTTACTAGACCTATGTATTAGATGGATCACAGATTTCCTGATTAGGCATGTGCAGTAAGACACATGAGTCTCACTTCTTCACAACAGTGTTATGGTTAATTATACATCATATGAAGAGATGAGGTGAAACACTGCTACTGTCATTAAGCAGGGAGGAGGAAAAACAGCCAACAGTATTTTTACAGTCTTTATTTTATAGTTAAAATATATGTTTATTAAATAAAGTCTAATGTTACAAATAATCATGGATCCCTTTAAAATGATCGCCGGAAATTCAGGAAAAGACCGGAGGAGAGCAGCTGGGAAGGGAGGCAAAATGCCCCACAGGACTTGTGTATGTGAATTTGTTATCAAGATTACATATCAGATTCAAAACACTGTTCATACATTTTTGTTATCACATTTGTTCACTGCATGCTGAATAATAAGGAATTTTAGTATCCCCAAAGTCTTACCTGGCCAAGGTTGTCAAAGTTGTACTTGTGTCTGACCCATTTATAGTTGGCTTGGAAACAGTCTGATTTATTGGTGATGTTCCTTACATCCTCTCCTTGGCACACAAAAAATTTTCCCTTGAAAAGCTGAGTAAATAAAACAAAAACATGTTAATACACATCAAAGCAAAATAATGTTTGCTGTGTTTAATTTAAGGCTTTAGTACAGAAAATGCGGGTGCACCCCTAAGAAAATACACAACTGATTTGTCACAAACAGTGAAATCAAGACTTGAACATGACCCGTCAGAAAAGGACTGTTTTAGGTCACGGCACAGTAACTTTTAAGTTAGCTTTTTGTTTTAGGGTTTACCAGGTCTATATATAGAAACTGGAACACAAAACATAACAGCAAAGGTATAGTGGACAATATATTATAAAAGAAAGAAAGAAAGAGAAAGAAAGAAGGAAAGAAGGAAAGAAAGAAGGAAATAAGGAAAGAAAGAAGGAAAGAAGGAAGGAAAGAACGAAAAGAAAAGAAAAATGCAGATTTTTTCAATTGCTGTTGCCAACATTTTGAATATTTCTAAGAGGCTCTAGTGAGTGGATAAACAATTCACTGCTTTAAGTTATCCTCACAGCTGTTCACAGCTTCATAGRTTTACTAGACAGATGGGTCAAACACATTAACAGAATGATGTGTAATAAGCAGAGGCAAACTCTGCTTATCATACATACATCAATCTGTTAATGGACCACTGAGTAAGTTCACACAATTTGTTCCTTAGATTGGAAATTCCAATTGTTCTTGAAACTTGATATTACTGTATAAGTAAGTTTCCTCATTGATGAGGTATAATGTAGAAATTGCCTTGAAAAATGGYAACACTTTTTTTGTCTACATGTCCTTATGTATAACTGCCCAAGACAAGCCATAGAAACGTGAAGAACAAGCATTTGTCCTCTCAAACTGATGAATCAGCTAGGAGACAGCTTTCTCTTGACTGTCTTGTTCCCATCTGCACACGCCTTTCTCTTACCTGTACTCCCAGAATGCCAAAGATGATGAAGAAGGCACAGCAGATGACCACGATGTTGCCGATGGGCTTCAGTGATGACATCAGTGTCTCGACCACAAGCTTCAGCCCCGGGGCTCTGCTGATCACGCTGGAACATGACATATAACTGGGTGTTAGTGCACTGCACTGTGTGTGTGTGTGTGTGTGTGTGTGTGTGTGTGTGTGNCCACCCCCCACCGCGCATGTGTGTCTGCCCACCCCCCGTGTGTGGGTGTCTGCGTGCGCGAGTGTGTGTCTGCACTTCAGAGAAAAAGAAGGGAGGGGGTGAGAGGGAAGGTGTCGCAGGCTCGCAGCAGCTTCTGCAGTGAGAGATGATATGCAGGAGCGGGGAGGGGGCGGAAGGGAGGAGAGCGCAGCATCCTTTTTTTTTCGAAAAAAGGTAGACACAGCAGTTGCTGCTGCGCTAGTTAGCCAACTGTTGGGAAATGTAGATGCATGCAAAGGAAAAAGATGTGCAAATATTGGTGGGGACTGTCCCTGTCCGACCGAAGTTGGTGGGGACATGTCCACACCAGTCCTTCACAAAGTTACGCCATAGGGGAAAACCCTTTCTCTACTGGTGCTTGTGATTTATATAATCTCCTGCTCATGATTAAGCCAAACAATATCTTTTCAATCGCCACTTTTTGCTATAACAACAAAAGATTAAACTAAACACACCACCTCCTTTCCAAGAACAATCTTAGACATTACAACATATGTCCAACATATGTATTATTTGGGGATCAAGATACCTGCAATTACTGTGGGACTACTTTGAGACAAAATAGGTTTTGCATATATTTTGAACCAGATCAACATTTAAACTGTTTGCAACCAAATGGACAACACTAACATCCAAGTAAAATATTCGCTTAATATGAAATATGTTTTGGTCACATATCTGAAGGTGTGAACTGGAATTACTGGGTGTCATGATTTGTGTCTGTGCTTATGATTTAGTCTAAGTTTTTTGTCTTTTCCTCCTGTTTTCTTCCTCCTGTCTGCCCTTTGCTCTAGCCCCGCCCACTCACACCTGATCCTCATATTTCTTCCCCAGGTGTTTCTTGTTTTACCTCATTAGTTCTTTATATTCTGTCCTTTGTCCTCAAGTCTTTGTCAGATTCTTGTTCTCTGTTTGATGTTCATGTTCATGTTCATGTTCGTGTTCATGTTCATGTTCATGCCCATATCCTTGTTCTTGTTTGCTGCCACGTCAGCACCTTTGTTTTTGTTTTAATAAATCACTTTTTGCCACATCACTCAGTTCTGCATCTTGGGGTTCTAATCAACCAAGCTCAATCATAGAAGGATCTGACCACACTTGAACCCCAGCAGACTGAGGTGAGTTTTTTGTTTCCAGCGCACCAGGAGAAAAGTGGAGTTTTTTTTCATGTGGTGGCCCTGAGTCTGACTGCACTCAGGTTGGTATCCTGAGAATGGTGGAGAAGATGCAGCGCNTCCTGAGAATGGTGGAGAAGATGCAGCGCGAGCTGGCTGTCCTGAAGGGACTCTTTTCTTCAGGGTGTCCCTCAGAGCTGGCAGCTCTGGGAGATTCTGAGACCCACCCTTCCCACCCCTCTGATGCTGGACCTCATGCACCAGCTCCAGCTCTGGTTCCTATTGGCCCTCCAGCTCTGGTTCCTGTTGGCCCTCCAGCTCTGGTTTCTGTGGGCCCTCCAGCTCTGGTTCCTGTTGGGTCTCATGCTGAGCCCTCTGCTCCTGAGGTTCCTGGGTCATCGGCTATCGCCTCCACGTCGCCTGGTTCGGCTGCCGTCACCTCCATGTTGCCTGGTTGGGCTGCCGTCGCCTCCATGTCACCTGGTTTGGCTGCCATCACCTCCATGTCGCTTGGTTTGGCTGCCGTCACCTCTTCGTCTCCTCTGTCGCCTTTGGCAGCCTTTTCACCAAGGCTCTGGCTCCCTCAACCTCCAACGGTTCCTCTTTGGCTCCTGCCTCCTCCCTCGGCTCCACATCTGCTCCTGCCTCCTCCCTCGGCTCCATGTCCGCTCCTGCCTCCTCCCTCTGGCTCTGCTCAGCTCCTGGGGCCTCATCGGACATGGAGTGGGGAACTCCAGGTCGTCCTCCTGACTTTGGACTCTGCTCTCTTCTTGTTTTACCTCATTCATTCTTCCTTTATATTCTGTCCTTTGTCCTCAGTCTTTGTCAGATCCTTGTTCTCTGTTTGATGTTCATGTTCTTGTTCCTGCCCATATCCCTTGTTCTTGTTTGCTGCCACGTCAACACCTTTGTTTTTGTTTTAATAAATCACTTTTTGCCACATCACTCAGTTCTGCATCTTGGGGTTCTAATCAACCAAGCTCAATCGTAACACTGGGAAATAGATTCAACAGTACATTCCAATTTCTTCCAAAACAAGATAAGACATCTAGTCACCTCAATAAAAACTTAGAAATACAAAGTTAAAATGTGGCAAACATAACATAAAAGGCAATGAATCTGTGGAATCTATCTAAAGAAGTATTTCCACATTTTGTTGATTTCCATATGAAAACCCCAAGGCCAACCTTCCTCCCCTCCTGACATCATGTCATATTCTTAATATTATCTTTTCTCATAAGAATTAGAGAAACAATATAAATAACAAGCCTTTTATTCATATTCCATTTTTTCGTATCATGGTGGACATATAAGGAAAAAGACCTGTATCTGTATTATCTATTTTCAAATGACTCAAAAGGGAGGATGAGTACAAAATGAATGAGCAAGGGAAAGAAAAAGTGTACACCCATCTAATCATCCTGTCTGCATAACTCCTGCAGCTCACAGCACGTCCTGTTTTGGTGTGCAGCATAACAACACAGGGAGGAGAGTTCTGCGATGCTCAACACCTGCGGCACCTGCCTCTCTCCACTGCCGAGATATTGTTCATATGGAAGAACGGGAACAACAAGTAGGGTAATAAGAGGCAGGAGTGTTGAAAGCATGCAGACTCTGAGAGTGATTAAGTGACACAGAAACACAGGAATCAGAAATAGAAGCAGGAGAGGAAGGCTGATGTGAAGCAGAAAGAAAGAAGAAATGAAAAGTTAGGCGATCTACTTTTATCAAGGTTTTTTTTCCCCCTTTACTGGGTTTCTCTTAATCTTAAATAAAATTTGTGCTGTCTTTCTTTCATAGCTTTAACAAACTTTTTTGTTTAGATATTAAAGATCGAGGAACTTACCCCAAAATCAACTTTTTTTGTAGATAAACTATCTAAATTGTGCCCCAAGAGTAATAACTTTCTATTTATGACTAAAATTCAACATTTTGGTCCAAACGTGATTAAATACAATATTTGGTCTAAAAACTTCTTTGTGCTGCTCTATTTGTGTTTAACTATGGCTACAACATTTGAATTTCGTTATTTATTCAAAATGTGCTGTATGACGCTGCTGGTACTGTGTGACGTCACACAGCACATTGTTCAGTATAAAAGCACCTCAGTAGAGACACACTCTGCAGAGATTCAGGAGTTAGCATAGCATTGTTGATCGTTGCTCTATGTCAGGGGTGCCCAACCAGTCGCTCCAGCTGATTCCCAGGTGCCCGCGCAAAACAACCTTTCTGCGGAGCCTCTAGCACCAGCTTTAAGCATTGCATCCTGGAGTGACAGGTCTTGTTTGAAAGCTCTGGTTCTGCCCTACAAGGTGAAAGTTGAATGAAGTCCCTGCGATGTTCCCCCGCAGAGCAAAAAGCAAAAAACCCTCCAAAATACGCACCGTCTGACCTCCTGCCAGGGTGGTTTTAGCCCCCCTCCCCGAGCTAGGAGCATCGGATCCTGGAGTGGCTGGTCGTGTTTCAAAGCTCTGGTTCTGCCCTACAAGCTGATACTTTAATAGAGTCTTTGTGACACCATCTTGAGACATTCAGAAAACGTCTGATCAGAGCTACACTGCCGCAGACAGACAGGTTCTTTCAGGATCACAGCCAATTCTCTGAAGCAGCACTGAAGCACCTCCTCAAAGACTGACTCTGCTGAAGATTCTCATTATCATCACATCTGCTCTGACCACAGCTGAATCTGAGAGTAGCTTCTCAACACCGAAGAGAATCCAGACTTTACTCAGGTACACAGCATCGCATCTCACTGCTAGGGTTGGGTACCGAAACTCGGTTCCAGTTTGGCACCGGGGTGAAGATCAACGGTAATACTCAGTCCGTCGGTGCTTCAGAGAAAGCTGTTAATTGCGCCCTCTGGTGTTCACTGTTAACAGTGACAGCCTCGGCACAGAATCTCCACAGAGTGCCAACCATAGGGGTGAATTATGAACCTTTAATGTGTTTTAACTGTCTAATTTAGCTGTTTCTGTCTGCTGTGTTGGACTATGTGTGGTAGAGAGAACAGCTGTGTGTTAAGTTTCACTTCGAACGGGAGCGTAGCGAGCGCCATGGTTTTACTTTCAGTTTGAAACCGCACTGTACTTAGCGTGTCCGAGTTGTTTTTCTTTTAAAAAATGCTGGAGCTGCTCACAGGAGGCATAGAAGAACACCTGTATTGTTCTCCCTGCTGGATTAAAATAAAAAGCTCTCGGTCCTTTCTTGCTGTCATGTTAGAGCTGCCGCCGTGCAGCAGGCAGACGCTGCAGATCACGTTTGCTCTGACCGCAGTATAAAAGTTGTGATGCAGGTTTCCTTCGGTGTACATTTCAAATTGTGCTCTAAACTTAACTTCAGCTGGTTTCAATGCATTTTTTTGCCCGGTGTGAAAAAAACAGGTGCAGACTGAAGCAGACTTTGAGCGCTGCGTGTGTGTGTGTGTGTGTGTGTGTGAAGTCCTCACAAATATAGCAAGATGCTGTTTTTGCATCAAAAATGCTGGAATATTAAAACAGTCATTTTATTTTATGTAAAAWATAWATTAATCTGATTAATATACAAATAAAAACAGAATATTTAGCACTAGATAAAATAAAACATGAATTAATTTTTTAAAATGTTTTCTAGTTTTAAGTTAATACGTTGGTCAATTTAAAGTTTGACTTTGCCTCAGAAATAACCATTGCTTCATAAACCTCTGTGTGAGTGTGTGTGTTTTATTTATTTATTTTTAAAGTACAGATTTAAATACCGTTTAGGAACCGGTACCGTTTTAAAAGTATCGATTTAGCACCGGTATCGAAATAAACCCTTTCAATACCCAYCCCTACTCACTGCACTGACCATGCTTTATAGAGGAGAATCTTTTTAAAACAGTCCTGACTTRAACAAGAGTTATGAAGAAATTTGCTTCTCAGTAYCATGAGAGCAAACTTTATGCACAAAAAATWAAATACTACATGACATTGTAATGCTGTTTTATTATTTTCATTTGTTTAATAWATACACTGCRGTTAGTACACGTGTGATTACTTTTTTGAGATATTCTATTTTGGAGTTGTAGCCCACCCTGGAGAAAAATCCAGCTTTGATTTTCCAACTTTGTTTTGAGGTGACCTTTTGGATCTTAAAATTAAGAGAATGTCAATGAAACCAGTAAAGACATTACTGTCTTGAGAAAAGTCTGCCACTTTCCCAAAGAATACTTGTCCTGCACACAAACTTGTTGGGTTTCTTCCTGTAATTGCTTTATTTTATTTAATCTGACTTTAAAACCTTATTTATATGACATTAATATAGTGTCAMCTTTGCTGTCGTCTATGGATTAAATAAAGCAGCAAACGGAAAAAGCAGCAGAAGTTCAGATGTGACTGCAGCTTGTAGTTTATCTTTGTCAGCATTAAAACACTCATAGGATTGACCAGTGCTCATCTGTCACCCACAGATGAAAGTAAGTTTGCTCAGGTACRACCAAGGCATTAACAGGAATCTGTTGGAATGCCAGAGTCATTGTTAACAGTGAACCCTGTTTTAGATTTTCATGGAGTGAGAGGGTGTTGACTAAAGAAGTGGTTTCCAAACGTTTRAGTMTTTGACCCACAAAATAACAGTAGAGACCTGTACCCCCAAATATRTTTTGGGTGATAAACATTGGCATCAGGTCCAATAATAAGGGCATTGCAACAATTTTCATTATACAATTTTACCTATTTTTGAGTACACTAARACTAAGGCCAAAAAAGTATTGTTGGTAGTCATGTTTAAATGTAATAACTCAGAAACTCTTTTCAAGACCCCACCTTGGGTACATCATAAAACCACAAAGCAAGGTCAAGAAAAACAACTTTCTTTTGAGATATTCATCGTGACAGAAACATACTGTACGTAAACTAACACTCTTAAAGAGTGCTGTGCTCATTTACATTCTCCATTTTGACACAAATATGCAGGTTCTAGCTTCAAAAATAAAGTACTTCAAGGCAGGGAAAGCAAATCTAGGTTTGATAAAAAAAAAAAAAAAAAAACTAAACAACAAAAAACATTCCTTTCATGCCAAAGATATTAGTTGGAAAAGCAAGATGAAAAGAAAGCTCACAGATGTTCACTAGATAAACTTGATGAAATAAAAATGAAGATTTGATTTTTTAGCTATTCCCGAGAAGTCGAATAAAACTTCAAGAGAGGGCAAACAAATCTAGGTTTGCTAAAAAAAAAAAAAAAAAAACTAAACAACAAAAAACATTACTTTCATGCCAAAGATATTAGTTGGAAAAGCAAGATGAAAAGAAAGCTCACAGATGTTCACTAGATAAACTTGATGAAATAAAAATGAAGATTTGATTTTTTAGCTATTCCCGAGAASTCGAATAAAACTTCAAGAGAGGGCAAACTCTTCTTTTTAAAATGGGACATGGGGCATGAATATGTAAGTCAAATCAAGCTTGATGCTACATAACACCCAAAAGAATCCACATGTCCTCAAGCTAACACACAAACACACACACACACACACACACACACACACACACACACGGAATGGAGCGGTTTAGGTAACACAATTTAAAGGTTATCAAAAAAGAAGAGCTGAGGCAAAAACCTTCACCCAACCATTATCAAATATTAAATTTACCACAAAATACAAAGTTCATAAATACAATAACCAAAAAATGTTTATTGTTTGGTAGGACAACTCTTCTGTAAGTTTTCTTGGTACATGATTGACTGAGGCCACATAAAATGTGACAACAGGACACAGCTGAGAGTCATATCAAATCAGAAAGGAAACAAATGTGTTTGTACCTCACTTCAGCCAACTCCTGCACATAAAACCACATCAGAAAAAACTAATGAAACGCCAATATACCCAGTAATCACCGTCTGAAACTTTCATTAAAACCCATCCAGAAGTTCATGATGTACTGTATTTTGCTGTAAGTGAATTGACTCCAAGAGTCGTTGTCAAAGTGTGCACTTCCATCTACAACCACAACAAACAACAAAATTTAGCTCAATATCTGTAAATTCAACAGAGTTGTAACCACTTTGTGTTTTCTAAGGTCAGTTAGATGTAGCAGACATCTTGGATTGGGTTGACTCCAACATTTAATCAATTGTAGATGTATAAAGGTTTTTTTCTTCTGTCAGACAGATTTGACTCCAAATATTTATTGGTAAAATTTTAAACAATGTACTACCACAAAAATGGGGTCAATATCTGTAAATTTGACCATTTTATAGTCATATTCATCTATAAACATGGCTTTCTGTACAAAAATCTTATGGTTCTTTGGATAGCCACTTACCGTAATGGTCTCAAGGTCCTCAGCAGTCTCAACACTCTGAGCATGCCCAGAATCTTCGTTCCAGAATTAGAAATGAGAGAAACCAGGATGTCAACTACAGAGATCATCACCAACATTCCATCCAAGATGTTCCAGCTGCTCCTCAGGTAAGCTTTGTCTCCAAAGAAAAAGCCCATGGCCACGATCTGCTCAGAAAGGAAGACATGGAGTAACAGTATTTGTACAATAATGTCAGCAGAACAACAAAATAGATGTTGTTTCAAATGAGTTCTGCTAAAACTTTATCTAATATCTGTAAGCATTGCATTAGTGGCTAAAATGATCCATTTTCAGTGTGTTTTTGTCTGTGTAGCAGCAGATTTGATTGTCATTGATCTGTTTAAATTTATCTGTCACTGCCATATACCCCACATGTTCACCTTACTGACTTTGTTGTAAGCTTTACTCAGCAGTAAAGATTAGCTTACAGATCTTTTTAAAGACATATAGTCAACTACTATTTCTTCCTTTTAAAAAGGCATTGCATACTAAAGAAATGATGAAGAAACAATTTTTTAAAGAAAAATCAGACTGAAAAAAATGTTGTCTCCCATCGTTCTTAATGGGTTGGATCAATTTGTCTAAATCTATTAACAATTATACTATTCTTTTAGATCACTTGATCTGTTAATAAGCTATTTTATAAGAGGAAATCCATGTTCCAGTGAAAAAAAGCTCTCACTGGCTTCCCATTGTTCAATTTTTACACTATTACTGGTCCTGCATCATCAATCGATTTTTGTACTGGATTAATCAAATAACAGATTTACATGCAACCCACATGGGTAGATATGGAACTTGCATCCTATAAACTTTACCTTTAATCCTTAGTTTGTTCTCACCTCCCTCTAAATCTTTCCAGCTTTACTTCAGACCCAATGGAACTTAATTCTGCTCAAATCTGGATTCAAATTAGGAAGGGTCTGGGTCTTTAGAGGGCTTCTGTCCTTTCCCGTTGCAAACAACCACCTGTTTCTGTTCCTTTTGCAGAAACTCAACCTTCCAGATCTGGTTTGACAAAGGAATAACTAAATTTAGGGATTACTAAAACCAAGAAACAGCTTTTATGTTCTTTTCTGAGATCTTTAAGAAATCTGGCTTAATCAAGTCCCACGTAATTTGTTGCTCTCAGTTAAGGCACTTTATTCAGTACCAGAACCACCCCCTACCCCCAGATACTCTGATGTAGTCTTCATTGGTCTTTGACCCTGAACATAAGCAGTTAATTTCTACAATTTATAGACTTAGTCATTCTACTAATGGTGGCATGATGCCAGGCTCCAAAGATTCCTGGGAACAAAAGCTGGGAACCACACTACCTGAAGAATCTGACAAAGCCTTGCATCAAGTCCTGCTAGCGGTCCAGTCTTCTTTAATCTGTGCAAGACACAGCCTCCCACAATGTAAAGTTGCACTTAGAGTTCAATATACAAATTTGAAGCTGTCTCAGATCTACCCAAATATCACTGATTCGTGTAACAGGTGTAAACAACTGCCAGCTGACCACTGGTTCTGTTCCAGTCTAACCATAATATTGTTAAAACTCTTTGCAACTCTTATCACAAAATATAACACTATCACTCTTGAACCTGTCTTGGTTCTGTTTGGCCAGTATTAACTTCAYAATCAAGCAGAGTCTTCTTGCTTCTACCACCCTGTTGGCTAGGCATTTCATGATTTTAAAAAGGACAAACACTCTCCAACTTCATCTTTTCACAGGTGGGTAAAAAGTGAGTGAGTGAGTCTGATTCCATCAGAGATGCTCATTGACACAGATTATTTTCATAACTTTTAGTCAGAATCCGTTTCAACTATTTGCAGATGATGTAGTCCTGTTGGCATCATCATACTGTGATAGTCAGCTCTCTCACTGTAGTGTGAGTCTGACTGTCAGAAAAGGGTAGAATTCCCTCTCTGGATTTTGAGTGGGAGATGCTTATAGCTGAGTAGTAAAAATTCTCGTAACAATTTGCACTAACATTTGTTAAGTAAATTTAAACGCTACAAATTCATGTAATACAGTATTTACTCATCATTATCTAGTAAAAGTTATTAAGAATATAGTTAAAGATTTGTGAAAAATTCAGGCAAATTTTACTTAAGTTGCTCAATTAAATCTTGTAACATATACTTGATCAAATATTTTTAGTCTTTATATTCCTTCATTGACGCATCATAAGTTTTCTAATTTCCTCCATGAGATGCTTTTCAAGATTTGACTCGATTTCGTCCACAAATAACACCGATTTTCAACTTTATCAGCTTGGTGTTGCACCCAGAACAGTACATGCCATTGTGCGCACCGCGGACGCAGACGTAAAAAAAATGATCTCTGCACGGACCAGTCCGCGGATGTTCGCTTCGAGTCCGCATTGAGTCCGCCTCACGTCCACACGGAACTCTGCGGACCGAAGTACACCCGAGTATGTGGGGGCCTTTATGTTTTATTTCGACCATGTCTTATTCTCCTTGAAAAGTGAAGCAAGGGAATGAGGAGCAGCAGCCTTTGTGTGCACATGTGCCCTCAGTTTTAGCCCAGAAGAGTAGAAGTTACTTAATATATTCATGTTTATGCTGTCCAGAAAAAAACACTTAAATACTACTGGTAAAATAATATTAGCATTTACTTTTTTGTACAGTAATATTAATATATAATATAATGCATATTGTTTATTTAGTAAATTCTAGTAGTTTAGAGATTTTGATATTTTTTTGTTAAATTTAAAAGAATAATTCAATAAATGTTACTACACCCAAAAGTTTTCTTTTTCAGTGTAGCTCCCCTCCCAAATGTTGCTCATTAACTAATTGCAAACACTTGCAGTCCAGTGAGACCCTGGCTTTAGTATTAGGCTGGTACATACTAGTTGATGGAAATGAATAAGAGTAGAATGAGCCTCCAGGGAAGATATGATTCAAATTTTCATAGAAACATGAGTGGCTGTGTGTTCCTATATTTGCGAGAAGTGCTGCTAAAAATAAAGACAGAGGCTTTGAATCAGTGACACCAATGATCTTTCCTCCCCTCTGTCTATGCTCGCTCCCACCCATGCCTGCATGGACCTCCATTCAAAGCTGAGCCATTTAAAATGAAGGCGAGACAATCTTACTTCTGTGTATGTGTGTGTGTGTTGGCTGTTTCAATTCTCTTTTCCTATATTTTTTTATATCTTCGGAGACTTACAGCACTAATGGCCTTAAGTTAAAAGTTTGTTTTTCGTAAGACATTTTTGGAGTTCAGCTTGTATTTTTTACATCATTTTTAAAAGGTTTTACATTGTGAGCCAACACAAAAGTCACAGATGGCAGCAAAAAATACCAAATGAAAGCTTATATCTGACATGCAATATCTGAAGACATCTTGGTCTACATGACCACCTGGCTTTAAGAGGTGAATCATACAGGACAGAAACAGTCGGTGTTTACAAAAAAACAGTATTTGAAAGATTGTTCACAAGTTGGTAATTCCTCACCTTTACCGTCATCTCAGCCACAAAGATTGCTGTGAAGATGTAGTTTGACACTGTCAGAAAGATCCGCTCCTGCAGAACAACAAACACCGACCTAGTTAAGATGAGGCACAGTAGTTTTCATTATTTAAAATTTATATGTTCTACATGGGGCTGRTTCCTATGGAGCTTGCCTCTAAACTGATCCAGTGTACAGCTCAATAATGTATGAGCAAACTGTTTTTCTTATATTTTAGTTCAAAGCATATTTATACAAATGCATCTATTGTATTCTAATGATTGCTGGCAGGCCATAATGAGGCTTGGCCTTTATTAGCACAAGATGAATTATTCAAGCAAAGAATCTCATTTAATATTTAGCCTTAGCATTGTTTTCTTCCCAAATAATGTGAAGAAAGCATTTTCTGCTAAAGTCATATTACAAAACTATCTTTCATCCACATTTTTAAAGAAATTCTTCATTAAAACCATTAATTTAAAGGTATCATATCATGCTTTTAAATCCTTCTTTTTCACGTCTAAATCATTCACTTATGGTCTATTTAAAATAAAACTGCAACGCTATGGTCTTAATTCCTCGTTTTTGTTGCTCTACAGACTCCTTGCTTTCCTTGCTTTACCCCTYTTKTGAGTTGRGCCTCAGAGCAAGCTGTTTTGGTGCGGTCTCTTTAAATACAAATGAGATATTTCACACCCCGCTCCCTCCAGGTCGCTGAGCATTCGACTCCACCCCGTTCGGCCATATTTGTAGTTTCATAGCAAAAACACAGTTATCTATCGACTAAAAACTGTTTTTAAGATAAAATAAGATAAGATTAAACTTTATTGATCCCACAGTCTGGAAATTTGCACATTACTGCAGCTTAATACAAGAGAGGCTGAGAAGAATAATGAAAGATTAATAAAAGATAAACAAAACCCCACAATATACACATGTGATATACACTCACCGGCCACTTTATTAGGTACACCTGTCCAACTGCTCGTTAACACTTAATTTCTAATCAGCCAATCACATGGCGGCAACTCAGTGC